GTCTGAACGAGACATGAAAGCATGGGTGAGCACACTTGCGAGAAGCGGGCCTCTCCAGAGTCTGGAATGCCAGAAGGATCCTCGCCGACCCTCAGACGTATAAGTGCTTGTTCCCCGGCGGCCGCCCCCAACCCCCTTTGGTCATCCGCCCTCCCGCACTTGTTGCAAGGCTTGGCCCAAGCCTTGGCCTTGAGCTTGTGTGTGGAATGGTCGGGTGGTTTGGTTTATGATCATCCCTCCGTGAAACGGATGGGGTCTTGAGCTTCGGAGTTTAGTCATACCATTGGGGGAGGGGCTGGAGGTGCGCACATCCATACATAGTCTGCTGTTCGGACCAGTCAGCTCCCGGAAGGTCTTGAAACTTTCCCTTCCGAAACGCATCAACTTCGCAAATCAGTTACGTTCGTCACTCTTGCACCCGCCGAGCTGAGAACGCGGTACTACTCATCTGTTTGCCATTTTAACTTTTCGGCAGGCAGAAAGCCTTCGACCGCATTGAGCCCGTCCCTGCAAGGTGACTTCGAAGGCTTCAACTTCGGACCTGCTGTGGATGAAGATCTAGCAGAAGAGGGCCTTTGGCAGGGTTTGGACCAGCTGCAGAAGGCGGGCGGTGGTCGGCTTTCTCAAGAGCCGGAAGATGTTGTGCTGCAGCTTTCCAGACATGGCTAGCTGATTGATACGCAGCTTGCTTTGAGACAGCATTTCTTGCTCAAAGATCGCTGTTGACTTGGCCGTAGGCCGTTCGGAGTGGCTTCCAAGGGAATGTGCCGTGCAGAGTGCGCGATGGCTTTGATGCGACGCAGGTGGCTGAGTCTTGCAGCTCCTGCCGAGCCTCGGACTTCTGTCATCCGGGTTCTTCAGTTCAATATTCTAGCAGATTCTCTCGCCGACGGTTGCACGGAAGAAGCGGTACAAATCCCCCCAGCCCCGCACTTGTGTGAGGGCGGAGCTGCTGGCTGCCATTACCACTACCGCAGTGCCACGCCAGTTCATACTTTTCGCACTTCCGCATTCAATCTGAGATGGGAGTTCCGCCGCCCAAAAATTATGGAGATAATACTTCAAGAAAAGCCAGACATCATTTGCCTGCAGGAGGTGGACAGTTTCCACGACATAGCAGGTGTATTGGAGGCTTCCGGGTATCGCGGATCCTTTTGCAAGAAGGCCTGGAGAAAGATATTGGATGGGACTGCTGTTTTCTGGCACCACACACTTTGTTGCAAAGACATTGAGCACGTGCAGCTTGAACCCAACAGCGCGATGACTGCCGCGCTACTTCGGTTTGAGACCTCTGCAGGCAAATTGTTTGTGGTTTGCTCAACACACTTGAAAGCTGGCTTCTCAATGGAGATGGAAGAACGACGTCTCCGGCAGGCGGTCATGCTAGACAAGTACTTGGCCAAATTTACCGCAGGCAGCATCGCGACGATCATTGCAGCAGATCTCAATGCGCACCATGCCGCTTACGCGGTCTGCACTGCGCAATCCTGCTGCGACCCGCAAGCGACCGTGGAGCCCAAGGCTGTGACATTTCTGTATGAAGCTGGGTTTCAACCTGTTTACCAAGTTTCCAGCTTCACAGCTTGGTCTGGGTGGCTCGACAGGGACGTCAAAGCAAGCTTGGATCACATTCTCTATCGCGGACCTGTAAAGCCAAGAGCAGTGCTGGAGCTGCCTCCCGAGGAGGTGGTCTGCCATTGGCCAGAGCTTCTGCCAAATGACAGCTGGCCCTCGGATCACTTGCATTTGGTTGCAGACTTCGAGCTGCTCTAGTAGCTTTTAGCTCGCAGTGCAGACGCCCCACAAGCTGGATTTCTGCAGCCGAAAAATTGGTGCGCTGCACTGATCAAAGGCTAGGAAGTAATTCGGAGCTGTAGCAGGAGCAACCTTTTTTAAAGCGAGTGCGGAACCCCTCATTCAAATTCACCCTCGCTCATGGGAATGCACTGCTGACAGGTCGCAAGCTGGGGCCGCTTTCGGCAAGCGCAGATTTTCGTGGGCTGTGAGAATGCGCTGACGTGACTCAGCTGAGTGGAGGCCGCAAGATGCCGCAAGCCCTCGTCGGCAATCGCAGACCCCTTCCCTTCCTTGCCACCAAGACCGTGTCACTACGACATGGTCCACAACGCTTACGTCCAAGTAACTGGGCTGCGCCGTAAGCCTTGAGCCGCTCAAGGACTTGGCACTGTGTTGACGCCAGGTGCGAGGTTGGAAGCGCTTCCTCCTTGTCGACCCCTGCTATTCCTCGAACCTTTATGCATACCCGCGCGGCCCTCATGCAGCCTGTGCAGCTTCGTTGTCCGTCGGGTTTTGCATGTAGCAGATGCATTTCCTCACTTCATTACACTTGTGGAGAAGGGTAGCGTGTGGGAACAAATGCACGCGGGTGAAAGTAGCCGCTCTCTCACACCAGAGATGACGGAGCTCTCGGTGTGAGCTTGCAACATGCTCGAGTCGAGGTGTCAGAATGCCTAGCATCGAGAATTGAATCATGTGAATCGGTCTTCAATCTCATGGGAGTGTCGCAGGCTCCCATCCATCGTTGCCAGACCCCTTTTTCTTCGCAGGTCGTGCATGGGATGTGAGGACAATACAGCGACCTCGAGGGTTGTACCAGATGCGTATAAAGGTTTAGCCTACGGCAGCTTGGGACAGCAGAGTACGAGATGTGCATAGCCTGCTGCGCTATGGGTGGATGATGAGAGAGAATCTTGAGGTCCAAGTCCCCCGCCAGCGGACAAAATCACACGCGCATGCTCGCGGACCGATAGACAGGCAGAGAGACGCAGAGAGGGAGGGAGAGTGGAAGCAGTAGAAATCATGCACGGCCTTGTCGCAGGCCTGGGTACTTCGGAAAAGTGCACACGGTTGGGGGATGTGAAGAAAGGCGCATGTTGATACCTTGCCCGCAGCGACCCTTTCCCCGCGGAACGGGGAAGGAAGAAAGAGAGGGTGTGTGCACACTTCAGGGGTAGGCTGCCTGCATCCCTACGTTTAAAACATTGCGCTTCAAAGTCCTGAAGCTGCTGGCGACGCATGCCGCAAAGCAAGGCAAAGACACTGCACACAGAGACACACACCTACATGAGAAAGAGCCTCCGATGCAATAGCAATTGTGTCCTCAAGCTGCCTGCACAAACCCAGGAGCAGCACCAGTTTACATCGTACATTTGTTCAATACAGTCAATACTTGTAGCATCTGTCAGCTTCTTGTTCGTCGGCGCGACGACACCCCTGCGTTCGTCAAAGCGTCAGTGTAATGGCACCGTCTGCTCGCTCTTACTACATCAACTTGTCTACCATGAATGAGGGCGTGAGAGCAGTAGGCACTGGAGTTCGTCCAAGTCGCGTGGTTCCAGTATGTTCCCATATCCCCTGCATTTTGTTCACACAGACTGTGAGCACGTTGCATGTATCCGCAGGATGATCAGGATGATCTCTGTGCAGACGACGATGACTGAACAACATCGGGTTAAAAGGGATCCGTATGGCAATGGCCGAAAAGCAGTGTGTTTCTACGAGCAAACATTCCGGTGCTCAACAAGATCTTCCAGATTGCGGGAATAGTGGTGACTCGTGGTGACTAGCCACGCTATATCAACAAGTATCACGTACAGAATTGTGTCACCGGCGAATCTTGCTTTTGTGCTGCAAATTCCATTGTGGGATTGGTCTTGGATACCGTGTTCTGCCGTGGAAGGCAGGGGCATCCAATGGACCGTTGTGCGCAAGCGGATCTCGAATCTCCAGATTTTACACGCTTCCCCAAGCTCAAGGACAGGCATCCGGAAAATCGAAGTTCCCTCTCTGCAGATCTCTGCAGGCTGTGAGGGCAGTTGAGGCAGTTCTTGGTCCTGGAGACTTGCTTCTCTTGCCTGCGGGATGGCTCGGCCCCCAGTCGCTGTCAGCTTTCACACATAACTACAGCACCTACTACAGCACGAGGTGGCATCACGTGCAGTCATTATCCGAGGAGACGGGGCTGATATGGTAGCGCCACAGCAAAACCCCGCTGAAATCAGGACTCGATCTCAGTGAGCTTTTGGTTCGACGAGCCGCCACTTCAAGCGGTGCCTCGAGCGAGACCGCTCACTTCCTTTCAGCGAGCCTGCTCCCCTATGACCCTGATCTTCAGAACTTGGCTCTTTCGGATTTGGGCTTTTGCCCAGGTGCAACTTGCTCGTGAAGCAGAGCGCATGCTGCTGCTGGTCTTGGGAACTTCGAGGTGCATCTAGCGAACCTAGCAGCTTCTGATGAAGCTGTGCCCATGTTCAAGCTGGAGCTCCATGGAAGGCTGCGCAGCGCTATGCACACATTGCGAACCATGCTGGGTTGCGATGGCCGTGGCCTGAGCACTTAGCTTGTGAAGCTTCGCCATCTGCGCAGAAAGGTGAATCCGGCAGCCAAGCTCAGCAAAGTTCTGATGAGGCCATTTGCCCACCGTCATATGCTCGATTCTGCTCTTTCGGCCGCGCAGGTTCTGGCTTGCGCGTGGCTGCTTTGGCGCCTCTGCTACACCTTGGAGAGTGTGGAGGTGGACCGGTGGAGCCTCTGAAGTGGCAGCAGGCGTAACAAACCCTCAGAAAACTTTTTATGCTTACTTACAAGGTGGCCAGGAGCGTTGCCTTGGCAATGGCAGACGATGCACGCATGAGCCGCTTGAAGCTGTGCAGTTCGAAAAAGTAGTGAGTACTATGTGGAGACTGCCTGTTCTGCTTGTTGGTTTAAGTATTATTCAGATCGGGTTCCTTCGGCACTATGTCGATGTCGGTGAGCTTGCGACGGAGCATTGAGAGCTGCATAGTGCCTCCGACAAAACTTGGCTGCTTTCCTAACGTGAGTTCATATGCTCAGAGAGGACCTTCGTTGCTGACATACCTAACAAGTTCATGCTTCCTAGGTCGGTTGCACGGAAAGGTGAACCTTCAATCCTGAGCGATTCGGCTCTATACCAACCCTCGGTTCACTCATCGAATTTTTTGGCAGCGTGCGATTTCGCCATGTTTAACGACGTTTCCATCAGTTTACCAGCGAAGGCGCAAAGCACAGCAATGCTTCGCATCGATGTCCCCGCGGAGTACCTTCTTTTTCTTGAGAGGTGCGAGGGCCGGAGGCTGAAGAGGAATGGCAGGAGGCACGCACGCGTTGCAAGAGAAGTCTACATGCCGGAGTTCAATTGACTTCGTAGAACTGCCCCCCTGCTGCATGTGAGTTATGTGGCAGGTGGACTGGGTGACATGGAGCACCGGCACAGTCACCGTGGATTCAGAGCTTGATACCGGGAACGCTGGTTCCACGTGTGCTTGGTGGAATGATTTTGAATCTTGCCGTGCTGAGGTCATTCCTTATTGTGTTCAAGCCGACAGGTGCTGGCAGCGTCAAGGCCGTCTCGTCGCATGTGGTCTGCATTTTTGCCAATAATGATGTCACACTTGCGTTGACTTCGGCAGGCAAAGCCACTTGGAAATATGATTCGAGCAGCCGCGGCCCAGCACCGAGTCGTTCTGTACATGAACGATCGTTTAATTGACTGGCTTCTGTGCATGATTGGTCATAACTACAATCATCTCCGTTACAAACATCGTTGTGAATGCCTAGAGGTGGGTGGGACTGACGAAAAGACGCTGATCGTCACCACTTCGGAGCGTAAGACTTGGTCACCAGGGAGGTGATACTGTGGCCCATTGCTTTCCGCAGCTCTTCTGCCTTCTGAAAAGTCAGGTCGATGCACCGGACGCCGCACCCTGAGCTTCGGTGCTGTGCTGGTTTGGCTTCGGCAGCCAGATTCATCGGACACAGGTATCGCATGACTTTTCCGTAGCAGCCTCAGCCCAGCATGCCAGCATTTGATCAGCGAACATCACCTGATCGCAGAGGACTTCGGAAGAAGCTTCGGAGTTCTCAGCTATAGCAAGCAGGGCAGAGGTTGCCGCGGTTGCCTTGGAATCCTCCAGCCACGACGACCCTCTCAGCGTACGATTCTGTGCGACGTGAAGGCCAACGATGCTGCTTCCAGAACAAAGGACCAGATGCAGATTAGTTTGGTCTGAAAGCTCGGGTGAAGATTTTGTTAGCATCGCAGCATAGAGTGATTGCAGGAGACAGGTGATGTGGAAAGTGGAGATGCAACGAGGCCTCAAGAAGCAACAGCAGCTTGGAGGCCCGCGAGACATCGCGAGACTTTGCATGGAGGTTGGAACACGAAATCCGGGCCCATTTTGTTGAAAGATGCCCCTTGGTCTTCGGAGGCTCGCGGTCGATCAGTGCTCCCACTCCAAGGTGTCCAATGAATGCTTTGTATTTGCCCAGAGTGCAGGCGCGGAGCTTTACGGGCCGGATCCTAACGGTGAGGCTTCCAGTGAGGCCCGGAGTCCAAAATGCAGACCCGGCTTTAGCTGTGCTGTTGGCGAAGGTCCTGCTTGGACGGGGAGTCGTGCTTTGCCCAAGCTTCTGACAGCCTCGAACGGGAGAAACCTCGTCAGTCTTCGTACGCATCCTTCCGCTTCCGAGCGCAGACTGTAACTGGAACAGGCCTAGGATCTCTGCAAACTCTCTGCCTTGAGCCGAGATGATGATCCTGGATCCGCAAGAAGACAACAAGCGCGCGCATGCCCTTGCGAGTCTTGCGAGCTTGAGCTCTGTCGCATCAGCCTCAACCATGCTGCGCTGCAAATGCTGCAAGGTGGGTAGCTACGAGCTTGCCTTCTTTTCAGAGGACGAGGCCAGAGATGCACGGATGCCTCTGCACATGATCGGCCCCGGCATGATTGGTGATGTCCATCGATGCAGACCCAGCTCAGACCCAAGTTATCATACTGTGCAGAATACCTGCATGTCGACACCACGGACATGTTCAAGACTGAAGCTGTCATCAGAAGACTGCCACCGGTGTCGTGGCCGGGCATTGAAGGGTGTAGGTGCGCTCCGTTCGAAACTGCAGCTTGTGAGCCATGGGCATACGTTCAACGGCGTGCTGCCGCTTGGCATTGAGTCAGAGTGTCAGTTGAAGTTTCGTGCTGTCAGTTCCCTTGGCCACGGCCCATGCTTTCTGGGGCTTCAGGCTTCTGGAGTGACCCGAAAAGTGAGGTGATCAAGACACCTTCAGCATGGACAGCGTCTCAGATCACGACTCTTCTCCTTGGTTTACGTCCTTTGCAAGGAAGGAAGAGCCAGGGCCTTACGACGTGGCCGCGGTTCAGGCAGACAGGTTTAGTGCAATCAAATGGCATTACCCCCAGGAGAAAGAAATATCCGGGCACAAGAAAATTAAGAGCAACGTCAAAGCGTGGAAAGTCTGGCACCGAGTTGTTCGAGCCTACTTTGTGATCCCCCATTGATCGCTCGCAGATGCAAGGCCGTATCAGCTGTTCAAAGCTTGGTCGCAGGAGGTGACGTGTTGATTCATCCTCAGGTCTTGACCTCACGACACAATCCTCATGCATGTACTAGTGGCTATGTGCATCACCCTGCACACCTGCACACTTGCCGGCTGGGCACAGCTTTCTAGTTGCCTTCGACCTCGTGCGGCACGCGGGGTTTGCGACAGGTAGGCGATGCTGCGAGACAAGCCATGATCGCTGCTCGCTCTACGCTCGGCGAGCCTGTGCAGAGCGTGTGCAGAGCGTGCTGAAATGCTCAGCCAGGAAATGCCGAGCTTGCGGCCGGTCAGGCCAGGCCCTCAGGCAAACTGACTCCGTGAGAGCACGAGAGCTTTCGGCAGCTTTTTCGGCAGAGCGAGGCCAAGCGCTACAAGTACTTCGCGAAGTCGGCCAGAGATGCCGCGCAAAATGCGTCGGCTGCTGAGCCCGAGATCCAACTTCTGCATGCATGCGGCGATGCGGGCGAAGAAGCACTTCTTTGCGAAACCTGGTCACGTTCCGATGTATCTTCCAGACAGAATCAGATCACTACAGTTGATGAGTACAAAGGCTGCAGGAGCTTGTGAAGCATTTTGCCAAAGACAGAGCCATGCACCGAGCTTCTGCAACTGATGCAGTACCGCCTACCTCTACCGCAACAGTATGTGCAGTGTGCTTCTTGGGCTGGAAAGATGCTAGGCAGATGCAAGCAAAATGCGAGTGTTTTTTTCCACTTGCGTTCCTGTGCTCGAAGCATCGAGATCAGCCGCAGCCCCAGTTGCTTTGCACACGGCAGTTGAAGGCCGGCACCTGTTGCTTAGTACTTGTTTCATGCGCCCCATTGGAAAGACGAAGCTTCGCCTCAGAATGCCACAGCTGGAAGTTGCCTTCCAGTGTAATCCCGCCTCGTTTGCTCTTGGTTGTGCATGAGGTCACCGCAGCTCGACGATCTCGAATGGCTGCATTTCTGTAAAAAGAAATCGCATGCTTGCCAAGAGCAACAGACGCATCATGCTTGAAAATGGCAGTCTCAATGGAGAGGGTCGCCTTTGAAATGAACTGCAGCCGAGGGTTCAACGCAGGGGAGAGCAAAGCGGAGAGCGTAGCCAGAGGCAGAGAGCAACTCGGCATTCGGATGTCCCTGAGCCCATCCAAGCCTGGAGGTCTCAGGCCTGCGAAGGCGGCATGGCCAAAAACGTTTAAAGGTCCCACATCCGGTCAAAAGACTTCTGCTTATCGTTTCGCGCAGGGTCGCCCGCTGCCCGGGCGGAGAGGTGTTTCCCCAGCAGCCGGATCCCCTACCAAGAAGAAGGGTGGCTTTCATTTCAAGCTGGGCGCGGCTGAAGACGAGGCTTGGCTGCATCGAGCAGATGTAGCGATAGCGCCGATGCCGATGCATGCCATTGCCGGCATGTCTCACACTCAGGATGCCTTGAGCCCAAAGTTGCTGCCTTTGCCGGAGGGGGCCTTCTGTGGCTTCGGAAGCGCACTCATGCCCCCCAACGAGGAAACTGTAGGCGCATGGCATCGGCATGTCTCGGCATCTCGTGATTTGTTGCCCGTTGATGGGCTTGACGTTCTTCGTCTTTCGTTGCTGTCTTGCCAGGGCGATTCTGCAACGAAGGCCCCAAGTTGGAGTTTGGTGGACCGATGTCTCAAGCAGATACAGGCCTAAAATCTGCTTTGGCACACGCAATGGCCATACAACTGCAACGCAAGAAGTGCGACCGCACCTGCAAGAGGATGTGCCAGCCGGATCCCATTGCGTCAGTTTGCGGTGCGACGGGGCCTTTGTGCCCGTGGCTCTTGCCGTGATGCAATGATACTGGAAGTCTTTTGCTCTCGGCAGCATCCGCTAGCCAGACTATGTAAGCAGAGAGCGACTACTGCATGTCTAAGGCCTGCAGAGCGCGATTGCACAAGCAGCAACACTCCTGGTGGACAGGTGCATTCAATCTCCATGAATGTGTCGTCGATCCCTGTCCTTCCCTTCACCGGCCTTGCACCATGCGAGTGTTAGAAGAGTTGCACCTCGGCGAGGTTCCAGTCGATGAGTCGGAAGGAGGAGTTCACATCGACACAAGCTGAAGATGTGGTGAAGTTGTCGTACGGGGTGCAGGTGCATTCCCTAGGCTTTCAAAAATAAGCCTGCAATTAGGCTAACGACAATTGTCTGCATTAAGGCTGCAAGCTACAACGTCGCTGGGTCGCAGAAAGCCGGTTTGTGATGCAGAGATATGCAGAGAGGCATCCACAGTTCTGCCTGCAAGCCCGCATGATTCATGCATGAGGTTCAGAAGTGGGCTGCCAGCTTGGGTCATGGAGAACCCCCACAAAGCCGACCACCTGTACCGGCAAATCCAGAAGAGGCACCATGGTTATCACACACCGCTGGCGAAATCTTGCATGGTGTCGCTGACTGCAGGCCCTCGCGATGATGAACATGGCGCTGCCACGGCTGGTCGTTGCGGCATCCAGCTTGCAGACCGGTCTACGCGAGCTCGTGCCTGCCGTGCACATCAGATCAGATGGTTTGAACGACGAGGAGCTTCAAGCGGCGACCGCACAGGAAAAGCATGAAGCTGAAGCGCGAGCAGAGGAGGAGCTACAGAGGCTGGGAATCACGATCGACGAGCTCTACAGCGTGGTGCCACACATGGAGCAGATGATATACCAAGCGAGTTGCCTTGTAAATTCACTTCGGCAGCCGCCACCAGTGCCGCCAGTGCCGCCAGTGGACATAGCGACAGAACGACCCTTCGGAGCAGGACCTCCCGTGGAGGCGGCTTAAGCCTTAAGTGCGCTGCCAGACTGTGTCTCACGGCTCTCGAATGCTCATGACTTTCAGTTTCATCAGGGTTTGTCTATGGCTCCAGAAACGGTGGGCGCTTCATGTACAGGAGGAATTAAATTGCGTTCTTCAGAAGCGCCGCCTACCATCTGTGACGCTTGGATAATCCTGCCAGACTGTCCAGCGGCTGATGAAAAGAGATGGATGATCATCAGCATTTACCTGCATGTAGGCAGGGTGTTGAAACAAGTTGCTTGCAGCGATTTCCTGGGCGCGATCTCGAAGACTCCATGTTTGTGCCCCGGGTGTCTCTGCACCGGCAGGGTGTGGAGAAGCCAAGCCTGTCCTTCGCGATAGCTCCAGAGATGACTCTTTCCAGGCGGAGCCGATTGCAGCAGCTTGCGGCTATTTGCGGCTTGCGTTGCCTCCTTTCACGAAAAACTGCACATGTGTATGAACAGGCAAGACGCGGATGAGGAGCTGCGGTTTACTTGAGTTAGCCGGCATGAGGGAAGGTTCAGCCACACGCATGGATGCCTCACCAAACTGGTTGGCAGCTGTTCCATGACCGGTCGACAGACCCTTTGCACAACAGTAGGTAGTCTCAGGCTACCGGGCGAGAGCACTTGCATACGACTTTGCACTTGTCCTGCTGTAGCTTTGCTAGCAAGGGAAGACATTGGCACTACGCCCGAGGCGGGCCCTGATATGCGAACCTATGCGAGCTTCGAGATTTGAAGTGGGTTCCGCCTGGATTGCATCCGAAGGAAGCGAGCACCTGCTTCATTTAGACCCGACTCTCATCCTGCTCAGCGGACTCACAACCGAATCGTGTGAACAAGCCAAGCACCACGAAGGTCGAATTGAACGTGGGGGCCGAGCTTAGCACTTCAAAGAGTCTTAAGCACCTCGTGGACTTCGACAATCCTGAACACCACTGTTACTGCTACTGATGGCGCGCTATCACAACAACTGCGGAGGTGGCGGCAACTCTGCAGTACACAAGTACACAATAAGGGAGTTGGTTTTGGAGTGGTGAACAAAGCACTCTTGATCCTCACACCCGGCTCTGCGGATGGGGCATCTCTGCGATAAGTCTGCGGTGGGGATTGAGTCATGATTGTACGTGGACATGTTAAGGCGCCAAATCGGGACTACCGCCTCGCGAGCTGAACTCCGAGCGTTGGTGGATCTTCTGGAGTCTACTGTTGGGGATGGTCGTTTCAGCTGTGATACGCCGGCCAGTCAATAATCTGAAGCATCTCGTTCATAGTCGTAAATTTCATGCTCGGACGTTGCATGTTGACTTTTGGATGGGAGTTGGCCAAATACCATTTGACTTGCTGGGAGTTTCAGGCCCCTGGGTTCGTAGTATCCTTGCCACTTTGCAGCTCCGGGAGAAGCCGCTGGGCCGCATGGCAGTGATGTGCTGTCAGTTCTCGGAGCATTTGTCGTCATCTTCTGCTGATCCGTGGCACCTTTGGCGCACTCGTGGGGGACGGGCTGGGTGTCTCAACAGCGGATTGCAACTCGCCCAAGCGCTCGTTTGATGATGTGAAGGCCCTTGTGCATCAGACCTGTCCCAGCAAAATGAGCGTGGATCTTATAGCTCACGGCGTGCACCACACATCGTTTTGGTTTTGTCAGTTTTAGGGAGTTTTGGCGGTGTCTGTGCGGGCTTGGACTTCGTGCGAGGCAAGCGAGTGGAGTCCGTCGACACGAGGGTTGTGGCGCTCATCGGGTTTTTTGGTTGTACTCGGCTTTGTTTTGTCTCTGTCAAACCGAGAAAACAAGAGAGTTCCACTTTGGACACGGGCATTGGCACAGGCTTCCAAGGCAAGTCTCAAGGACGTCCTAAAGGGATGCTGTTGCCACGCGAAGGAAGCCGACTCCGATGCGCCCGTGACTTTCGTTCTGCAAGCGCCAACCATGGCTGCGACTCCAGCCTGCTTGCCATTGCTATGAAGAGATTGAAGAGCTGGACTAGCATCGAGTTGTCGATGGTTATCATTTTGCTATGCATTCTGTTCGATGGGTAGACGTGCATGATATTGAGTGGCCTTCTTCAGTCAGAGTGTTTCAGAGCTTTCCATGACAGGCACACTCAGTTTGCTTCGAGGACCTGGGACGCTGTGTAGGCAATGTGTAGATCATGTACGCTACTGTTCCTGAGCAAGCACAGGTTGCAGTCGTTGGCAGTCCCGCTGACGTCTTTTCTGCAGGACCAAACGACAGCAGCAAGCTTCTCGCGAGACTTCAAAGTACGTCGGTGCCTCTGTACATAACCTCACCGAAAACATGAAGAAGCTTAATATTGCCAGAGATGTCTGCCGCATCCAAGCTTGAAAGCGAAACGGTGGGGAACCAGGCAGCGCTCGCTTGAACGATTGTGATGATGGGAGAAGAGCAGCACTGGCGGGACGCATGCGCACCAAGCTGTGCGCTCATGGTGCGCACCGTGCACCGTGTACAGAGCACATGTGAGTTCATGTCAGTGATTCACTACACAGTCTTAATGCATGAACCCATGCAAAACCAACATCAGACACGCCAACATGAACAGTTCTGAAGTGATCAGATACATGGTTCATTGGGGCGGATGCGTCGGTGGCTGTTGCGGCAATGCTAAGCATGAGTGTGTGCAATACAGAAATGAAGGGCAAACCTGTCAATGCTGCAGGTGAATTGCTCGTTTATCAGAGTGACGGATGCTGTCACGACAGATCCTACAGTGTCTTCCACAGGAGAAGAGGGAACAGCGAGTCGGGAGGGACAAGAAAACCAAAAAAGCGCCAAGCGCCCGACACAAAAGACAGAGGGTAGAACTGGGAAGCGGAGGGGGGGGGAGCAGTTCTTGTGCTTGTTTTGAGCTTGAAAGCCCTTCACTGGCACTCATGCCCGGCTTGCCGGGGTCCGCGGAGCTGTACACGCCGAGGGTCCAAGTTGATGGACCTCTCCCTGAAGACACTTCGAGGCCAAAGTCAGTTGCACAGTGACGATGCTGACCTGCCGGTGGACCTGCGTGCTGCTGACTGGCTAGGCCGTGCTGTGGCACAGGGTCTCCGGGGGGAGCTGACGAGCACACTGCGCCGCAATAGAGACTGTGCGCGTGGGGCGTTGGCGAAGCGCTGTTTCCAAGGTCTGAAGCAACGGAGTCTCGCCAGCCGGATATGGACCGTGCTCAGTGCCCACCCTGAGCTTGCTGTGCGGAAAGTGCCCAAGGACCGTAGAGTCGTAGATATTGTTGAAGCCTGAGGCTGGGGTCTCCTCATTGCTTGCTTCTCAGCAGTCCCTGCTGCATGACAAGAAATCTGATGAAATCTGTGTGAACTGCTTAATGTCCATGCAGTACCCAGCAGTCAGCAGTGTACCGCAGAAGTCCTGGGTTGAGAGGCTGTGCTGATGGTTACTGGGAGGGCCGTGCATCTCTATTCGCCACCGTGCCCTGATTCGGGACTTGTCGATGCAATCGATGTGTTGTGCGTTTGGCCTTGGGCCAGGGAGAACAGCCAGAGACCGCCAGCTGAGCCTTGAACTCAGAGCCCATTGTGAAAGCCCTGTACTCGGATTGGGGCTTGCTTGGTTCCTGACGGCGATGGGACGGCCAGTTCTTGCTGCCAGCTGCCAGGTATGTGTCAGTCATCGGTCAGGACCTGGCCAACACTGCTTTGCTGCAAGGGCCCCTGCAAGCATGGGATGCAATGGTCCGTACCGACAGTACCGGCATGCGCGAAGTTGTTGCCAACAGGACTTCAGCAAACTGCCGCCCATAGGAAATTTTACTCAGCATCACCAAGCACTGACACTGAACCTCAGTAAGCCTGCGGACCTTAAACTCCTGCCCCTGAGCCAACATAGGACATAGGAGGTGTCGCGTCTCGAAACTCGCCTGACTCTCTGGACAGTAGACTCAGTAGTAGAGCACGGACAGAATCATCGGGGTGGAGAGTCTGTCTCTTGTATGTCTCGTTTCGAGCACAGCCGGTTGTGTTGCCAGCTATGGCCGATTTTGCAGTTTTGATGAGTACAAGACTTCGAGCAAGATCAGAGTTATCTGAGTACAATGGTCACCATACTGCCCATGTGCCAAGGCAGCCGAAGAGTCGTTCCATTTCTATGTGTCCCAATATCGTGTACTCAGGATATCCTGTGATTCCGATGCCAGTCAAGGAAACAGAATGCTGCACCCAACTTTGCCCGCTTTCAATTTGATGCAAGTGGGAAAATAGATGACTGAAACTCCAGGCCCAGACAGAAGCAGGATGAAATTCCTCAGCAAGGATGCTTCTATGCAATCGGCGATGATCCCTACGTGCAAATCCAGGGTGCACTCGCGGAGCATTGCATCAACACCCGACGCCTCCCCCTGTGGTTTGGGTGATGGGTTCTGTTTCGGTGCGAATCGTGTTATGTAACCTGCCAGACTCTACACAAAATAATCATGCAAAGCACGATATGGTGCCAGCTACTTTGCCATGTTCGAGATGGGAGGTTGCCGTGCATGTCGAAAACTTGCGAGAGTCGAGGGAAACGCAAGACCACACTGTCCCAATCCCAGCGACAATCGGCAGTTTGACATGTCGATCCCATCCTCCGAAAACGAAGACTGTCACGAGGATGATGGCCCCAACCAGCTCGATCCCTGTGGGGGGGATACCAGGGTGTTTCGGGATCCGAGACCATGCATTGCTTTCTGAGTTTGGGACTCAGGTCGGCGTCGACAACTACCGCAGTGGGTGCAAAGGTCCGACAGGGTACGAACCCTCTGACAGGGCATTTGAATCCGACTTCATTCGAGCTTCGTTTGTTTTGTACTTGAAGATGTGACTGGGCAGACCCAAACAGCATGCCAGCCTGCCTTTAAACAGTACTGACATGCAGTGACATGCAGTGTCAAGCTCTGGCCGCAGCAGACCTGCCAACCAGGCTGAACTTGTAATGAGGGCAGTGCCCGCCACTTCGGATAGCCGGGGGTGCTGCAGGGAACTTCAAGACCTTTGAGCTTTCAATCTGCAGCATGTGCAGGTTTGTCAGATCACCTTTGGCACTGTGGATCGTGATGGGCTTCGTCAATGCACCAGAGCGACGACGGTGAGAGCCCCGGTTCGACAGAGCTTGAAAAGTTTCTCGGGGGGGGGGGGGGGGGGCCCTCCTGCTCTCAGAGCCCGGAACGAGCTCTCGGAACGAACACCTCAGCCTCCATGAAGATACCGCGCCTCTCTTGGAGCATCACATGTTCGGATCGTTAGCACAGGTCTCCGGCATGCGGCAGTGCCTTGACTCTCTGACAGGCCGAACGCTCAGACATGAGGAAGCACATGGTAGAGCATTGTCCTATATTGTCCCTCCACGCTTGAATAGTTGCCGAAGCTCGCTTGAGTCAGGCTATGCACCTGTGTTGGGCCACAGCTTTCATGAAGGTATGTGAACAGTGCCATGGCTACATTGGTTCCATGTCTGCGGTTCAAAGCTGCAGCTGCAAACGCCATCAACCACATGACAGGGGCGTTGACTGCTCCTGCGCAACATGAGCTCAACTTGTCCGATACTAGAGCCAGAGCGGGAAGCCGCATAAGATGGTACAGTTTTGGCCTGAGGATGTGTCGGGAGCTTTGTACAGATGCTCTCAGGCCAGTTCCATGCTGCTCTCTACTTGGCAGCATGAACCAAGTATCCTCAGTATCCTATGCTAGAGCACGCTTGCGGCAATATCCCAACTAAACCCCGCCTGCCGGCTCGGTGGCTATGTGGCTGTGTGGTGGGGCCTCCGCTTTGCAACGGGCTGGAATAACGCACAGTTTTCTCCGATCTGCAAGGTGTGTGTGGGCTTTCTGGGGCTCTCCAACATGCCTTCTGATGCTGACAAAGTTTGGTGCACTAGTCTCGCATGTCTTGACTTGGGCTTTCCGCATCGAACTGGATTTGGCCGGTCTGTGGCAACTGGATCGCTGGAACGCTAGAATCGACCGACACGCTGGCAGCGCCGTTTTTCGGGAGAAGCCTATAGCTCCCAACTCGCGAACGCATTTCGCTGTTGGCCGTAGAGACAGGTCGTACTGAAAAAACAAAGGCCTCAACACAAATGCCTCATTCAGATCCCGACGAAGCAATCAATGTTTTGTTGTACTCGTACATTCGCCGCTTGACTCGCTTGTCACTGTACCTCGGTGGTTCACACAATCGCCTTCAGACTGTCGAGAATGAGGATGAGCACTGTAGATTCTCTGACAACTGCTTGACAGCACAGGGATCATCCGCTGCATCTTTGAAGGCAATTCAATACCAGCTCGGCTTTGAGGCTTTCGACTCCTGTTTCTAGCAGATCACCCACGCACGCACACACCCACGCACAGACTGACTTAACGCTCTCTCGGCAACCCCATAGGTGCTTGCAGTCAATTCCTTGCAGGTGCTGCGAAGACTGCCTCTCGTTGTGTTTACTTTGTTATGTGAGATTGCCGGACTCACAGCAAATCACACACCGCCAAGCACGCAACTGACTTGCAATGATAATGGCTTACTAGGACGGTTGGGACACCACTAACTGGCGCGGAGCGAAGCACTGCATGGGATAATGTTTTTGTGTTTATGGCAAAGTTGGAGCATTCACCAAGCTGTCAAGTCGAGACTTGTAGCTGACCATTCTCAGCCTGAGCATGCTGCAGAAGTGCAAAGCTGGGCGATCATCGAGCGATCGACTTGTCTCGCAGAACCGATTATGCAAGATGGCGCCTGCACGCATGAGCTACTTACGCAACGATCTAGCACGCTTGTGTCGCAGCTTCCTCACAGCAGCGACTGTGCTCAAGACTACTAGCACTTCTGTCACAACATGGCCGAGGCCGTCTGTCTGTTTGAAGCTCATTTATCCTGTGCGTTCCTAGCGGCAGCATCTGGCAAGGCGAAACAAGATGCATGTGGCCAGTGTGGTTGCGACAAAGGCGGCAAAGAGGCATTCTTAAATACTTGCAGCGCGTCTCCGGGAAGCATTGGTGCGCTCGTGTTTCTGGTTGGCAGGTTGAGGATTTGGTCCCAGATGTGCACTTCGAGCCCGTGTCTGAGTTGCTTCGCCGATGTCGTCAGCTACACCTTTCAAGAGGATCGTCAGACGTTCAAATGACATTGGAATCGACAGGTATCAAGCAATGTTCCAGCACGCCAACCCTGTGGACGTACCTTACACGGTCGCTTTGCTTAGACTCAAGCGACCACACAAAGTTCGATTGTTGAAAATCAATCCGTTGTGTTGGGATGTGGGGATTTGAGAGGAGGGTGTGCAGTTGGGGAAACCTGCAGTGCAGTTGAGTCCGCGTCCTGCGAATTGATTTCCCCGTGTGCACAGAAAATGGACGCGATGAGCGCCGGGATAGCCGTGGAGGAGATCAAGGCCTGCAGCCTGCAAGCTGATACTAGTAGGTCCGTAGTTGTTAAAATTACCCTCGCGAAGTTGCAGGGCAAGCTCAGGGCCTGAATCTCCCTGACAATCCTAACATCTGCGGGTTCGGGTTTTTGCAGAGTTGCGATCAGAGCTTAAAACGCGTTTCACTGGTTCTGGGCACGGTTGGGGATTGATTTCGGATCCTTCTCGAGGAGTTCACCCACAAGCGTGACTTAAGTCGCTAGTCACTGGTTTCTTGGCATTTCGGCTGGTGGGTGGGGGCAGAACAACCCTTAAAATCCTATCTCACTGTTTTGCAAGTGGCGCCGGCCAAAGTAAGATCGCAATGTGATCAAAACGAGATGCTGTTTGGATCGCCGGGTCGGAGTACATAAAACGTCGCCCGACGCTGAGCTTCTTACGATACTCAGACAGTTCAACGTATCTCGGTGCAAGAGGATCCTGCGACTCGCAGTCTCATGCGAGGTCGCGTGCCACAAAGAGAAATTGCCAGTTCGTCTGGGCATTTTGTTTGGCGGCCCTATGCACAGCTCAGTCGCGTCCCTGTACGTCACTACTGTGATAGGAAGAGAAATAGCTTCTGGCACACTGGCAGCCCCACTAACGTACGTACTCCAGACAGATCGGGCCACCGCCAGCCTGTGAAGTTGCAAAAAGGCGTGTGGAAGGACCAGGTGGAGGCTGTGAGAACAACTTCAACTGTGCCCTGTGGATGTAGTGTGTGAGTGGTGGTTGGGCCACCAGCGCGCGGATCCTTTCGAATGGTCTGCAAGCGGGGTTGTCTGTGAGGGGTTTGGTGGCAATAAGTTGACTTGAGTCATTGGATTTTGCGCAGGGGCTGTGAGTAGAAGTGGAGTGAAGCAGCGCAGCAGATTCCCTGTTGTAAACCAGCATTGGCACTAGCGCTTCGTTGTACATCCGGAGTTTCCAGGCAAGGCTCAAGCAATTGTGTCTCCATGGTGCTGTGTTCTAACGTGCTTTCTGGCCTGGCCGAGCCTGGTGGTGACATCTGTTTTGCGAGAAGAGTCGGAGCGCAGCATGACTCCCAGGTAGTTTGCCTGTGTGGCTTGCTTGACCTTGTCACCTGTCAGACAGTCGAAAGGGGTCGGCCTGTTTGCTGCGGCTGGTAGGAAATCCGTGTTGGCCTGTGAGGGCTGTGCGAGGCTTGTAGTCGCGGATGCGTTGAGCGGTTTAGCGAGACTTCTCGCGGGCTTGCGCGGCCTCTCTGCGAGTGTTGAAGTCTCGAAATGTCTTGAAGCCATTGTTGCTTGTGGTGGCGAAGGGATCGCCATGCGGATGAATTGGAGGTATCTGACATGCAAAGCACCAGCTGGGCCTTGATCCAGATTTCTGCAGGTGTCGAGCGGAAGCAAGAAGATTGTTACTGTGCAGCCGGGTGCTCAGTCCTCAAGGGCCAGACCAGAGTAGATGACGAGATAGAATCTTTAGTTTCCCAGTGGCTCATGCCCATGCAAGGCAACTGTTACGACTTTACTCAGGCCGTGGGTCCTACGAGAGCTATCCAAGCACTGCATCTCGGAGATCAGCCACTGCCCCGTCTTCACTTCCCCGTACTTACTCGATATCGACCTTATCGCGGCTGTGCATGATCATGCCTCATGCATGTGAAAGTTGCCTTTCGAGGTGGGGCTGCAGACCACCTAGCCAGAGCATTTTAAACTCACCAGGCCATTTTCTTCGACCGGGGCATCTTGCGCAGCTGGGAAAGATTCTGACGGATCCAGAGGCTTTAGCAAATAAAAAGCACAGCAGGGTCTTGCTTGATGACTCCATCTCACGCGCAACACCACGCAAGGCCTACGTGCCTGTTGATCTGGTAGCCGCAGGCGTCAGAGAACGACCGCTTCACCGCGCACAATTTGCTTCAGCACCTCCGACCAAATTTGATTATTGGACTTTTCCGTCCAATTGGGATAGGCTTGCAGGCCCTTTCGGTGCAAAGGATTTTATTGCGAGTTGCCAATGATCTCTGCAGTTCTTCCCCTGCGAAGGTATCTGCCATTTCAATACTGTTTGACAGTGGTTGTTGGGGAAGCCTTGGAGTTGGGTGAAATCGGAGGCATGATCGAATCGAGGGGCGGAGGCGAAACGCGAGCCGAAACTTTGTCAAGTTGATCCAACGGTGTGTGCTGATGAAGTTAGGCTTGGATTGCGCATCCCACAAACCCACAGAGGCACAAGAAACCAGGAGCTGGCAATGAGAGGCAGGTCGGATGACAGATGGCCGAAAGCTCCGAATCCCAGGAGGCACCTAGCACAAGGCTCGAACTCTTGCTGCGACCCGAACTGGCACGAGAGGAAATCTTGAAGACCCAACTGCAGGGCCTCAGGGGTTCGACGGGCGGTTGCTTCAAGTGTCAGGGATTTGGCCACAGCAAGATCCGTCAGAACTCTGACCAGGAATGCAGTGAAAGCTTCTGGAGGGCAGCTCCCTGGCTGCCAGGACTTGCTGGGAGACGTTCTGCTATAGTCTGCCGCAGCTGCAACAATCGCTTCCAGGACACCGGGACAGCCATCGTGATGGGCAAGTGCTTTACTCACAAACATAAAGATCACGAAACAGTGTCTCATCAACTCCCAAACTTTCCCCAGGCGAGGCATGCACGTGTTCACAGATGGTGATGATGAAGCGCAGCTCTCCCATGGAGTCTACGACGCTTACACGCAAAGGTGGGCATGTGTGTCGCTTGCCGCCAGACGCCGCGTGGTGCAAGTGCACTCGCAAACTGTTTTCGAGCAGTTTCACCTGGCAGGAACCTGAGGTATTCTCAGATGGCCCCGGTAACGATGTTTGCCGAGAAGAACACGAAGCCACTCTCTTAACTGCGACAAGATGGCCTGGTGAAATTGGGTCAACTGTGAGCTTCGCCATGAAACGGCTGGTAGCCGCTAGCCACAAGAAAGGTGCAACCTTCCTGCTCAAATTGACATCCTCGCGACCTCGAGCTCATCTTATGAGTTGCACTCCGAGCTTGATGTTCGTGCTGTTGCGTGCTCCAGATGCATCC